AAGACAGCAACATGATACAGCAATATGAGAGTTTGTACTTAATGACACCCCTTCTCGTGATAATGCAACTCTTCTGCCCTGTGCCACAAGCAGATGCGTGGTGATGAGAAGGTCTTAGGCTGATGCTGGTCAGTCAAAGTCTCCTTTTGCAGATGGTGCACATGGTTTTCTGTTTGTTTCCTTTTTTCCAAGTAATATACTATTACATTGTCACAAATCAACTTCAAATCAGATTTTGACACAAGAATTTTGACATAGGAATGGTCATGTTCTACAATCTCAGTGTCAATCTCTACATACAAAAATTATCCTACTGTAGACTAATGAGTCTGTCTTTGAGGAAAATGGATGCCGATGGCTTTTAAAATATTTAGCATTAAAAATACAAACTTTTTTTTAATTAGAACTAGCTGAAATCATTATACAAAGGCTGTAAGTTTAAAGTCTTGGGGGAGGGTCAAGTATGACAATCGGATTTAACTGTATTCAAAGGGTTTTTTTTATTTTCTGAAAAAATATAAAATTTCGTATCTTACACTACAAAAGCATGTACACAAACCAAATGCACACAGAGCTTCAAAAGGGAAAAAAATACAGAAATACTAATCCTTCCTTGAATTAACTCTGAGGCAGAGATTAAGATATCCTGATGTCTATCATAGAATAAGATACACTATATAGCTGCTTCTGATCTGATTGAAACTAAAAGATTTTGATAAACATATTAACAAACGACTAAGTCTAAGTATTCGTAGACTAGCATAAATGTCATTTACAAACTTTTAAATAATTAACTGGAAAACTACAGCAGTCTAAAGAGTCACAGATATGTTGACCACTGAAATTTCTACTGTTAATACAGCTCCCAGCCTGAATAAACATGACATTTGGCCACCACCTTCCATCTTTTTCATTAACATTTAAAAGAAACAAACATTTGATTTAGTTTATTATAAACAGATTTTTTTTTTCTTTTTAAAGAATTGGTGTCTTCTTCTAAGCAATAATTATGTGGTCATTCTGAACAAGAACATTCAATCATTTATGTGTGAAAAGACTTCTTCATAAAGGAACAAAAAATGAAAAGAAAGTTCTTATCTATTTCTCTTTCGATACATTACTATATAATTAACAGCATAATAGAGAAAAATGTTCAATGTAACCAGCTGCGCTACGGAGTTGAAAAAATGATGACTTATTCTAGTTATTAATTTCAAATAAAGCTAGCATTTTGATTCTTTTTATTCATTGTCATCATCATCATATTTATTGTACCACCTACTTTTCATTTACTGTGAAGTTAAACATCTGCCAGGACAGAATCAAAGACAGTTTACTATCACACTTAGCTTTCTTTTTTTTCTTATTTTTAGAAAGAACAAAATGAAAAAAGAAAAAAAAAAGGATCTTATTCTTCTATGCAACATCATACATTTAGTAAATTTCTAACACTTAAGTGTTTCCCATCCAATGCTCTATTATAGCCAAATACGTCTTCCAAAAGTAAATATCTCTGCTTGTGCTTCCAGAACCCACTTTAAATGGGAAAAAGAATGGTATCAAAAAAATCTTTTACTTTCACACAGAGATTAAATAGTAGACATGCAAACACATATTCATTTCCATTTTAACAGATATTAATTTCCATTTTAAACTTGGGACATGAAACTGTATCTTCTTCATTTCACATTGATCAAAACTCTCTTACAAACTGAGTTAAAGATCTTCTGTATTGTTTAGGCAACTCTGAAACTAATAATGCTGGCCACACTTAAATTTAAATAAAATATTGGAATACAATTTTTACAGTAATCTTACAACTTCAGAACACTGGCTTGGTGATTAAAATACAAAGAATAAAAGAACCATGCACATTACAATTTTTTAAAATAGGAAAAATCAAAATCTTTACATTTTTACATATAAATAATACATCTCAAAAAGAGCAACTGATTATATATAATTGTATATGCGAGCAAATGGCAAGATTAGAAACAAGTTATGATTGGTAAAAGTAGCAATTAAGTAGGTTACCAGCAGGAATCAGTAAGTTCAAAATTACTCCCTGTACCAATTTTTCAAAGTCCGATATGGAGAAAGATGATGCGTGCCTCTCAAGATATTACTACTGACAGTTACAACAACATTATATGTTATTTGACAAATCTATTATATGTGATAAAATTATCCAGTCTATGCTTTATTTTTGATAGTCTGGTGGTGGACAAAATGAACCAATAGAATATGAAATCACACAATCAAGATTTGTCAAACTTTGCCCTGGACTCTGGCCTCACTGTATTTCACGAGAGCTGTTTCCTCTCCTTGTTGCATTTCTCACATTTGTAGATGAGATCAACACTTTCCAATTGGTAACGTACCTACTGGTGAACGAATATTTTAGAAGGACGTTTTTCCTCTTTTTTTGCAGGGAGTACATTTATTCAAAGGCTTTTTATTCATTATAAAATCATATTGACACACCTAAGAAATTCTCAACCAAATTGAATTATCAAGGAATGCTATGTGGCTATTTAACTTTCCTTTCAATTTACTTTCCAAAATGAGCACCAAGATTGCGAAGGAGGCAAATAAATTACATCTATGTTATAACTTAAAATACTAGTTACTTAGATATACTCCACCCTCCCTCCCAATTATCTTTGAATATGTAAGGTTGGAAAACAATGTAGAAAGTATCTTTGTTATGTCTAAGCAACTGTGGCTAGTCCACCAGCTCTAAAACGTATGGTAGTTTTCCTTTTAAATCAGCAAGTCTATTTTTTATTTTGAAGTTTCTCAATTGTTACTTTATCACTTAGATTCAAATACTTCTACAAAATTCAATCAAGTGTAACACAATCTCCAATTATTTTGTACAAAAGTAACTGGTTTCATTAATTTTCTGTTTATTAAAATGAACAAATGCCTTTTTTAACATTGATGATGCCTATTTACTTGTGATTTTATCAAGACAATATTAAATCTACCTCCCTCAACTTTCTCTGGAAATTTCACTAAACTAATAGAGCATACTTGAAGCATAGTTTGTGTGGACCCATGGTACTTTATAGCCCTTATTGTCTGAGACAGAACTCAATATATCATTTGAATATTCTTTAGGCCATTTTTTGTTATTTTGGATTTTCCTTATTCTTTAGCAAAGAGCTACTTTCCTGCTTAAGTAAAGGGTGGGCAGAATGGAATGAAGTTATTTTCCAAAAGTTTATTCTTGGACATGCTAACATTGAATTAAACAAGTGCTTGGGAAAAGGAGTATCACTAATACAATACAGCT